CTACCTACTCAAAATTGTAGCTACTACCAAACTGCCATTACAGTTACACTTTTCTAATGAATTTCAATACTTTCAGATTGGGCATACTGCCACCTTTACCTTTGTCCAGCAATAAATTAACCGCTTCTAACAACAACAACGAACACAGCCAGAAGCAAGTCTTTCAGTCACAACACCAACAACAACGGCAACAAACACAACAACAGCGTCGGCATGAAACATCACCTAAACGTTTTAGTTCATCACTTGGCAGTGACAACAGTACACGTGAATCCGAATATAGCGAGGAACATAGCAGCGGCTCACCAATATCACGCTCACCACCAATCGTTAAACCATTACCACAACCGACCAATGAACTATTTGATTCATTAGCTGCCGAGCTGCGTGCTAAATTAAATGGCAATGGTCCTCCGTTGTTATTGCCCCCACGTGATTATGATACCGTACATCGCTCTAAGGGGAATCTAACAGCAATTGAATTGCGTCGTTGTCGGAATGCATTGATTGTGGGCGGTCCGACAGTTAATTCTCCAACAGCGCAAACTGCAGCTACAAATGGCAAACAAGTATCATCACGTGGTTCATCTGGCATCGGTTCTGATTTAGCACCTAGCCCAGAGCGTCAAGAACTAAATAGCTCAAGTGGTAAGCCATCAATTTCATTTATATAAATTTATGTTATATTTTAATATTTTAATGTTTTTCCAGATGATGAACACTGGTCAAATGAAGCAGATAACTCTGTTATTGCTTTGAAACCTTCTCAAATACCTGTTGAACGTTCTATACCAATTATACCACATCATCCACTACTGAATCGTAAAAGTGCTATACAACCTCCGGAGGATAGTTATTTACGCGATTTACCAGCTAAACCATACGTGCCTCGTTCAACTACAAATAACAACAACAGTAATAACAACAATCGCGACAAAATAGTCTCAAACCGAATAATTAATGAACGTGAACAACGTTCAAAGACTCCTTCATCTACTTCTTGGTCTAAGGAGGATGAAATTAAGCCCATCATCATGCGTCCTGCTGATTACGATGCAAAATTTAATCGTGTCATGCAAGCCGAACAAAAGCCCGAACATAATCGCCGTCACGACGCAGCCCCAAGGGAACATGCTAAGTTGCATGATACTGATAAATATAACGAAATTAATCGCTTGCTGAATAAAAAATTGTCTTTAGAGCAACGACCCAAACATAAAAGTAATGAAGTTGAAGATTTCGATGATTCTGATCCTTCAATTGATCAAGTACCGCCACATGCACCATCTAGTTATCGCAAGGAAAATCTAACAGATAAGCAGAAATTTTTGGAATACAATTCTAAAAAGCAAACTAAATCGTATGCCGCAGAGGAGGTGCAAAGATATGGTGGTCGCCATCGATATGTTGATCCAGCTGATTTACCTTTTGATCAACCAACACATAACAAATATGCTGCTGTACATCACACCACTCACTCACCAGAACGTGCACCGGTTGAACCTGAACATCGAAATATCTCACGCGAAAAAGAACGCTACAGAGAACGTGAGCGCGAACGTGAACGAGATAATGAACGCGGACGCGATCGAGAACGAGATCGTGAACGTGAACGAGAGCATTTCTCACGCAGTAACGAACGCAATCCCTATCGCGAACCAGAAAGCATACCTTACATACAAAGCATGGAAAAAATGATGAAATCCTCCGCTATGCGTTATAAATCATTCGAAGGAGTTTCTGAATCTGTCCCTTCAACTAAAGAAGAAGCACACACAAAAGTAAGCCAACGTAGCAAGTCATATCCAAAGAACGATGATGACAAGATAGAATATAATAGAGGAAGGTCAGAGTATGCAGCATCTGCAAGCAGTAATGTTTCACCAAAAGAACGATTTAAGGATGCAAAAGATAAGTTTCGCGCAATGGAACGTAATGGGAGCAGATATGATTTAGCAGATGAAAATGACGGTTCAGAATACAAATCACGTCGACATGGTTCAAGAGAACGGTCTGATAAAATACGTACTTATGACAATTGGAGTGATGATGAATATTTAGATGATGCACCACCAGCACCGGTTAGTAGATCACGTAGTCAATGGGAACATCAAAGTAGTAAATCTCGTGATCGAACAGATTTTGCACGCGAAAATTCTAGAGAACACATAAGAGAACGTGAACGTGATACACGAGATCATAGAGATTATGGTCGCGATAATCGACAGCGAGAACCTTCTAGCAAGCGTTCTGACCCAAAAGACATACGTGAATATCCAAGAGAACCATATCGTGAACATCGTTACGAACAACGCAGTACGCCACGAGATGCTGCACCAATACGAGAACACAAAAGGGACTCATCACGCGAATATATTAGGGAGCATGTCAAACGCGATTACTCTCCAGATGCTCGTTCTGATCATCGTTCAGATTATACTGTTCGTTCAAATGAAAAACAACGTTTAGCACACCCACATTCCGAAAAATATCCATCTTCGCCGCCAAGCAATGGAGCGCCTATTTCAAATGGTAAAAATCTTTCTAATCTTAATAAAGGTTATCGTCACAGTTATGCAGAACCTGTTTTCGCTCGTTCAGGCGGTCGAGTGGGTTTGGCTGCTGTTAATCCCTATTGAATATAGGTGCAGAATTTAAATGGAAAACCTTTATTATACAATAAGTTTATAAAATATAATACTAATCACTTAAATGTTTTAAACTGTAATATAGAATCTGAAAAATATTTTACAATTAAAAGCAATCTAATTGTTATTGTTTGATTCATTTATGAAATTATATATTTTATATATATTATATTTTCAGCAGTAAAAAATATTTAATATAATATACAATCTTTAAATGTGCCTTTTGAAGTAAATTGACTTTTGAAATTTTGAACAAATGCAAAATTTATTAAAATAAATTTATTAAAATTATATTATAATATATATGTTAGTTATGTAATTCAATTATTAAAATCTATTTTAAAATCTTATATTATTAATTTGGTTGTTTGTTAATTGAAAATTATAACAAAAACAATATACATATATACATACCTAATACAAATGTCATATAATAAATAAATATTGGATAAAAATACTTTCGTAAATTGTTTTTAGGCTTTTGCGAAGAACAGTTTAAAATTATAGCATGTGATTTTTTTACTAAATTATGTAAAAATCTACATTCCCTTTTGTGTTCATTTTAATTTGTTATTTTTAATGGATGTAGTAATGTAATTAATTTGGGGTAAGTATAATCTGATTTTTCCACATCTATTGCTCTTTGGAAAGATGTCTTCTTTGGTTTCATATAAGTGCTATATATGTAACAATATATTTTTGATTTATATATATATATATATATCATATGCACTATTCTTATTTCTCTTTCATTTTATTTGTAAGTGCTGAGAGTAAAAGCAAATGCACATTATATGCACACAAAACTATCAACTGAAATCATATTTTATGTCAAGATTAGTTGAACCATAGAAAATAGAACAGTCTTAGCGTTAAAAATAAATGCTCCGCCCTCCATAGAAACTTATTCAGCAGAAAAATATGATATATATGATATATATACTTCTTAATGTCTTTAAAAAAACTAAAGAAATAGAAAGCAAAATAATTTAATACCAAGTATTTGGATACTTCAGTTAATAACATAGTCTCCTTCCCAAATATTAACCCACTATCTCTTAACCTGCTTCAAGTAATGATGAATAAGCATTCTCAACATTGCGATATATATTTATGTAAGATTCTTTCTTTTACTCTTTTAATTTTACTCCTCAGCCTTGGCTATTTTACTCCAAATCGTAAAATGCATTAACATGTTTAAGTGAATGAAATTTGAAAAATTTAAAATTCTTTAAAGTGACTGTTTAAACATTGTTAATCACTTTGCAAATGTTAATTTTTTTAAAATCACAAGCTGAAAATTGTAATTATATCTCAGATGCAGATTCATTTTGGTTGCTATACATGCAACAATTGCGCTTGTCACAATTCATTCCTATTAAAGTAATCAAAATAATTTGTAGCATCACTAGTTATTGCTGTCAAAGCCGATTTGATATAATTTATCATTTTACAACACTGATTTATAATTATGAAGATGACAATTTGACGATTTGTGTAAAATCTTGTTTTCTATTGTTTGCTGCGTGTTGTACTTCTCAATTATTTTACCGGCTCCAAATTTTTAAAATGTCATTAAGAATTGGTAAATATACCACTATTCTGTACTGCAACTTAATAATTTATACAACATTTACCAAACTTTACAGCATCAGGCGGATCTGTGCCCAAAAAGACCAAAACTGAAAATGGTTTGGAACGAAGTTCAGATGATGGTTTGTAACTGAATAATGTATATATTGTTTTAAAGTATTTATTCAATTTAATAAACTTATTTTAGAATTAGAAACACCTTCAGCATTTAATCCAAAATATCGCGTCTGTCCATATTTAGACACGATTAATCGTCCTTTACTGGACTTTGATTTCGAAAAACTTTGTTCAATTTCTCTAACACGTATTAACGTTTATGCCTGCCTTGTTTGTGGTAAATATTTCCAGGGTCGCGGCACAAATACACATGCTTATACGCATTCTGTGTCAGAAGCGCATCATGTGTTTCTTAATTTACAAACATTACGTTTTTACTGTCTGCCAGATAACTATGAGATAATTGATTCGTCCTTGGACGATATCAAATATGTCTTAAATCCTACATTCGTCACACAGGATATACGAAATCTAGATCGGTCAGAACCGAAATATTCGCGTACAATTGACGGTACATTATATTTGCCCGGTGTAGTAGGTTTAAATAATATTAAGGCAAATGATTACTGTAATGTAGTTCTACATGCACTTTCACATGTGGGACCCTTACGGAACTACTTTCTGCGAGAACAAAGTTACGCCCGCATTAAACGCCCACCTGGTGAT